TTGCTCCTGTGGGATCTTAGGCCAATACGATTATGGTGTTTTCCTACACTTAGTAAAATTGTATATCCCACATTAGCTTTCTTTTAAATGTCACACTCCTAGTAAACAAGTTGTTACACTCAATTGAACTGGATTAAAAAAATGGACAGGTGCTTCAGTGACCATAGGGCAGCACTAAAATGATCCCTTTGCATGTAGAGCATGTTAATGAAAACTCAGAGATCCAGGAGCAACATATTTCAAAGACAAAATGGATGTTTCCTTTATTTTCCTGCCAATTAAGAACACAGAAGATAATATTTTGCAGTACCACACTTCAGTTCTCCCCTGGGGAAAAACAAGACTCTCTTCACAGCAAATGGTATAAAGCAAGAATACACAGCATGCCACACCAGACTGGTCCAGTCTCCTTTAGGAGGAGATAGATTCCATCAGGTTGAACTCCTGACCTCTTGAAAAGTCAGTTTCCAAGAACTGACAAGACTAATCAATTAAATATAATCCACATCTGATCTGTTGAAAGTGCTGCTGCATGACAGCCCTATATAGGAGCATTTCCCCGTCTCTGTAGGAAATACCATGGACCACCCTTTAACTTAAATTGTATCTGCTTCTTGATTAGAGGTGATCGCTTCACTTTGTTCCCAGAAGTAACTAATAGATCAGTTTTCTGTGCTAGTATTGAAGTTAGTCCCAAAATAGAATTTCCTCATCCATTATTTGGTAACAGGTGATAACACATAAGACTGTGATGCACAGCCAGGTCTTCACATCTACTGGACACACCATATTTCAATGCCCCACTCTGCTAATTTTCTACTACACACAGTAGCTCTTACCTGGAGCAATCTGAATTTTGCAGCCAGACTCTGCCTGGATCCTTGAGATCTGCTCACCGCCCCTGCCAATTACTGAAACAAGTTCAACAAGTGTCAATTTACTGTTGTCCTTACCAAGAACAGAGTATCTGCTACCTTTACTCCATTGCAACTGGCAGTAAAGGAGAGATTGTATTCCAAAACTGTAAAACAGGCTTCCAGACAGACAGAAAGTCAGTCTGAGGGTAGAATCAATAATGTTGTTGCTGAATTCTAGTAACTGTATTTCCTTGTAAATACAAGTGTTACACTGAAATGTGAATACATGGTAGGGAAAAATAAGTCACTAAGGAAACCAGTTCAGGAACACTATTTTAAGGTTACTGCCCTATGACATCTTGAATGTCAAGTCTGGTAGGAAACACATGGCTGTCCTGATAATTTTGCAGGCAAAAGCACAAGTATTTTGATTGTTGCTTTTTTTAAAAAACTCACTGTCCCTCCTTCAAGAGCATTTTGCTGGTCTGGATCTACACTTTAATACACCCAGGCTTAATACTGAAGTGCCATGCTAGACCTCAAGCTAAAAGTGAAAGCTAGCCTACATTAGATCTGCTGCATCACTGGATGATGCTTGTGTTCCACATTATGATGCTGGGGCAGAAGATGCACAGACAGCCATAGATATCTGTCCCAAAGAGTACCATAGTGGACTCATAGGAGGTCAGCCAAGTCTAACAAGTAGAGGACCCTCAACTGTGCAACCTGTTTCTGCTAGTACCTGTGTGAGCTTGAATCTTTATCGCCCTTGTTAATGTGTGACATGAAGCAAGGTTTTGCCCAGGTCTCCTTCCAATGGAACTACAGAACCACACTCTGAATGGCCATCATCTGGCCCTCTACAGAGATTAGGGTGGGAGAGATGGAGTGGGTAACAATGTCACTGCTTTAGAAGACAAATAAATAATACATGTAATTAAAATTATGCAGATCCTGAACAAACTCCACTCAGAGGGTGTCCACCCAAATCTCCGGGCACCTTTGACATGTATTAAAAATACTATGCAACGTGACATCTGACACACATATGTAACAGCTGGCCAAAACGGGCCGGACGAAGATATGGAATAGTGGGTCCTGTAAAAGATTAATTTCTACTCTTGTTGAATTTTTCTGCAGAACTGAACCAGAAAGAATGTTTTCAATTTCAGCGTCATGATGGTCATCCTGGTTAGCCTACATGCAATGGCAGAAAACATGGATTTTCTTTCCCAGTCTTCACATACTAAGCAGAGCATTTTGGGTGATGCTCCTTTGCCAGAGAGATGGCATGCTTGAATCCAAAGGCTATGGAACATGCCATGGCAGTAGGAAGTGACACATGGATTCCAGCATCTGAAGAATAAAGGCGTTAGCTAAAGAGAGTCATGACAGCGGGAGGATTCCCATGAAAGGAGAAACAGAACAGCTGAAAGAAAACAGAAAATAGGACGAAGGGAGAGAGAACATCAGAGCTGCAAGAGTGAGGTGGAAAAAGGAAACAATCAGGAGAAAAAGAGAAATCCACCAGTGGAGGAAAGTGCATGCCACTTATTTCTCCCTGCACTGAGTATACTAGGGATCTATACAAGTCCAACCTATCTTAAATGTGAAAATTCAACTTTAACTTTAAAATGCCCCCTCTGCTCCTTTCTCCAGCCTCAGACAAAAGAATACTTAAATGCAGTACCTGGTTCTGGTTACAGGCAAATGGATTCACTCTTGGCAAATCACTATGTAGTTTGGTTGAGTAATTAGTGGTTACTGCCAGAGTTACCAGAACACCAGATCTTCTGAAATCTGTGTCTCCTGCCTTTCTCCCCCCTCAAAAACCTTTAATTCCATATTTATGCTATAAAACCTTTATCAGCAAAGAGGTAGTTTCTATCTGGGTTAAGTGCAGAGCAGTGTGGCAGACACGGTTTAAGTTGTCATTGTTATTAATAAGCAAGATTTTTCAGTCAGTAAATTCAAAGTGGCACTGATTTAACTTGTGTGCCTTATTCCTCACCCACAGTAAACATGGTTCCTGAGAAGAACTTACATTTTTAAACTGAATTCAGAACAGAAAAACAAAAACCAGTAATACTTACTAAATCCAACCATTTTATCAGGCACTTTGAATTCTTCTGTTATTACTGTCCTAAAAATGGAGATTCAAATAGTTACTGCAAAGAACAGTTTAGCAGACTACCCTTGACCTCCCACAAAAGCTAGCCACAGAGTACAAAGTGCTGTATGTAACAATAAACACTTAAGCTATAATCATAACCATTTAGGTTAGAAGTGACTCTTAGAGGATCATTTATTAAACCCCCTTCTTTTTGGGGGAATTGAGTGAGTTATTCCTAAACTCGGAAACATTTTAAATCAAACCTTGATTAGCTCCACTGAAGCTGATTCCTCTCCTTTGGCTATCATTGTGCCAAACAATAGGCAAATAGTAAACAGGAGGTAAATCTGACCTCAGTTTGACAAAATGACGCTTCAGACCATTAATTCTTTGCCTGTCATTACCTTAGACTAAGTCATCCCTGACATCTAACATCCCTTTCTGTATTTGTAGACAATTAAACCTCCCCTCGGCTAGATCTTCTCTGGATTTAACATAAGTAGTCCTCAACTCTTCCTCATAGGTCTTATTTTCACAAACCTTTTATAATTTGTATCGTCTCTGCAACACTCCATTTGCCTATCTTAAAATGTGATGCCAAAAACAAGTTTTCCATCTGAGGCCTAATCAAGCCTTGAGTAGAGCAGATTACCTCACTTGTTTTCCATGATATTCCTGTTAAACACAGCCCAATGAACAGGGCACTTGCCTTTTTTATTAGCACAAGATTCATCTGAATCTTCATAAGACATTTCTCAACTCTTCATATATTAAAACATGCACAATATCCAATTTGATACCTTTGAGAACAATTAAATATCTTTGGAGGAAGTTCAACACTGTTTTCTAACAAGGTCTCATACAATATCTTATAGTAATATTAGATTTAGACCAGCCAAGGGAAGAATAAGAATATGAATTTCTGAACTTTTCCCCAGCTGCATCATTGATAACTGTGACTGAGGACCTAATTTGTAATAGGATTACCTACTGCACTATAACGATAGTATCCCCCCCCATGCCAGATTTAGAATATCGGTCACCCTTACTGTCAGACAGCACTGTGATGCCATGGTTAGAGTCTATATTTTAAGTGAATAGTGGTGCTGGAAGAGAGTAGGGATGTGAAATTTAATCAACTAGTCGATGGATTTTCTCAGTTGACACCAACTACAGCTCCCATGCTTAACTCCCGCCCCAGGAGCTAAGGGGCAGGGAAGGCAGAGGGGTAGCGGGGACCAGGTGCTGATTCCTGGCTGACGGTTGGTCCCCACTATCCACCTGCCTCCCTGCCCCTCACAGAGATGGTGCTGGGGGGGAGGGGAGAACTGGCTTTTAAGCAGTCTCTCCCCCCTCCCCCAGCACCGGCTCCCCCTATATCAGCAAGGAGCGACTAGTCAACTATCCAGTAAGCTTTTGCTTATCAGATAGTTGACTAGTCGCTTACATTCCTAGAAGAGGATACTAGTTCTGCTTAAAATGAGATCCTCTGTTTGGAGAGGGAATAGGCAAGGCAAGGGTCTACTCATTGTTCTAATAGCCTACTTCAACTTGAGTGTAACAGTACCAATGCTAAGTTCTGGAAGGTTGTAAGTCTCCATATCCATTCATTGCCGTTTCTACTGAGACCTTAAACAGATTACAGTGGTAGTGTCCTGCCATCAACGTTTGGAATTTAAGGGGTCTGAGCAAGAGGCAATTTCAGGAGTTGCAACATCACTATCCTCTACAGAAATGCAAGACTTAAAAACCCAAGCATGACTTAAAACAGCTTTCTTCAGTCATGCTAATCCAGGCCTCACAAGGAGTCATCTGAGGGGGTCATATTTTACCAGCAAAAACAAGAAAAATTCAGTTGCCAGCTCAATGCTTGATTTCACTTCCACTACTAAAAAAATGTGTTATTTTCTTATGCTCAATTCAACAGATTTAGACGAAGCCAAATCTAAGCCTTCCTTGTGAGCTCTTTTTAAGTGTGCAGTGTCTCAAAAAGAGTAGGCAAAAACTGCAGTCTGGAAAAAAAACCAGAGCCTATAGTTTTCCACGTTTTCAACCTCTGACTTCCTAGCACTCTAGTACAGATGGTGGATCAATAAACAATTAGAACTAATCAATAAATAATAAAACATAACCCACTGCTTACCTTTGATGTACCAGGGCCCCTAACTGGTTACCTACTGTGGCAGAGAGAAGAAAAAGGGGGAAAAAAATCAAAGCATTAGCACGGATAAACTAACTTCATCCCTATAGAAAGAGTTCTTACCATTTCATCAAAAAAAAAGAAAGAAAAGCAAAACAGTAATTTAGGTTCAGTGGCTGAAATGAATGTGTTATGTGGTAAGAAACAGGAGGGGATTTCTTGATCAACGCAGTCAACAACCCAATGTCCAGCTGAACACAGGATAGGAAATTGATCTGCATGTCTCCATGCTGAGAGTCATGGGAGAAAATCCTGCCAGTCCAAACTCCTGTAACTTACCTCCTCCCCCTTCCCAAATTAAACCCAATGTAAAGATCAAGCAGATTGGTCCATATTAAATTAAAAAAAATCAAAAAGCCAAAACAGATTTTGAGATTTAGTTTAATCAGAAGCATTAGAGATCACTTGCACATACTTCTCTCTGTATCTCTTATCTGTGCTCCATGGAGCCCACTTAAACGGAGACCTGTTAAAGGAATAGGTCTGTTAAGTAACCTTGTGTCACCCACATTGTATCCGTTTATCACATTTTCAATGGAATACACACATTTCAGCCACATGTACAGTTGGTGGCTTATCTCTATTTAATCCTCACCTCCTCAACTAACCTCCCCCATCCAGATCTTTTTGCTATTTTTTTCACCCCACCCCAAACAGATTAATCTTCCCTCCAGACATAGCTATAAAAAATATGGTGCCACTGAAGACAGGGGCCGAATGAAAACTCTTCTGTGTGGACTTCACTTGTGTCAAAGTTACGAATTTAAGTCATTTACTTCCAACAACTAGAAGACCATTTTGATTAAGTATATGCTTGGAGAGTATTGCTTGTTTCATCTGTTTTCACCATCAATCACCATATTAATTGTGATCATATTTTGTTCCAAACTTTGACAATAATGTGCATTACGGAGTTGTCACAGCTGAGTGACAACAGGAAAACTGGTGCACATCACATTTTTCAAATATAATAGAAAAAAAATTCTTTGCAATACTGCAGGCCATGCCGGTCCCAGGATATTAAAGAGACAGGTGGGTATGGCAATAGCTTTTCTTGGATCCGCTACTATTGGTGAAAAGAGACTAGCTTTGGAGCTCATGAAGAGTTCTTCAGGTCTGGGAAAGGTACTCAAGGTAGGTCTACATTACAAATTTACATCGACACAGCAGTGCCACTATAGTGCATTTGGTGAAGGAGCAGTAAGCCAATAGGAGAGAACTCTGTCATTGGCTTCACTCCATCTCCACAAAAGGTGGAAGGTTGGGTTGGGACACACTGCAAAGTAGAGATATAAGCAACTAGTTGAGTACCCAATAAGCCTAAGCTTATCGGGTAGTCGAGTCACTACTCGACTAGTTGCTTCCCCCAGCCCCTGGTCCCCCCAGCACTGTCTCCACAGAGGGGCAGGGGAGGCACAGGTGCAGCGAGGGAAATGGCACGAGCAGGGACTGAAGCAATTCAACTGCTGCATCTCTGCCTTTTAAATGTAGTAAGAACCCCATGGGGATCTTAATACATTTAAAAATCAGAGGCACAGCAGTCAGGACCTGGCCCAACCGGGAATTACTTCAGACCCCGCTTGCCTCAGCTTCCCCGCTCTGCACTGCCATGGGACTCTTACTACACTTAAAAGGCAGAGGCAGAGCCGGGATAGTGAACAACCACCCATCAACTAATTGAGTAGTCAATGGAAATTCCATTGACTATTCAATTAGCTGATTAATTGTAATTTAACTTCCCTACTGCAAAGTAGGAAAAACATCCAGCAAAGCTTCCTACTGTACTTCACCTGTGCAAAAAACTCTAAGGAATGGGCTATTTGCTCCTAACAACTAAAAGATCACTTTTGATTATGTTAGTTGTGAAGGGTATTGGTCATCACAGGAGTGGAGGAAAGAATATAGGTTTTGCATGTGGATGGGGTTGGTATGTCTTGGGATGTGAGGACCTCACTTCTGAAGAACATGGCAAGGTTGAAGGGTTGTCTGAAGCAACACCAGAGCAAAACACAAAACAGATAAAGTTGCATAACAGATGCAAAAGTTGCAGATGTATTCCACTCCTACAATGATCAATATGCCCATCATTTTCAAGATCCATAGGTTCTACATATGGTGTACCTATTCCAGTACATTAAATATCCCAATAGCAAATGCATGAATGAAATTAGACAGTCACTATGACCCCAAATGAACTGTGGGAGAGAAAAAAAAAAAGACAAAAACAGCATATCAGCAACCACTTTCATCTAATGAATTACTCTATATCTGACCTCACAGTTCTCATCCTCAAAGAAAATATGCACAACACCTTCAGAAGATTAGCCAGAGATCTTAAATTCATAACTTTTCAAGACACAACAAGTCATGGGCTCAATAAAGACCCTGAATTTATGACTTATTACAACAACCTGTGACCCACCTCTGACTGCAGAGGTGTTAAGTGCCCACCTCCCCTCCTCTTGCAACATGTGCGAACTCTATGCTCAGCAATGTTCTTCCTAGTATTTAGCTGTGGCACTCAGAGTACTTTTCACAAAGCAGAAGAGTTCTGTAAGCTCAAAAGCTTGTCTTTCACCCATGGAAGCTGGTCCAATAAGAAATATTACTCCACCCGTATTGTGTGTGTCAAAAAAATGCATTAAATCTGTGACCAGGCACACTCTTTGGATAAATAAAATAAGCAAAGAGTCAATACCATATTTCTGTTCTGTGTCAATATCTTGATAATGGTCCTGGACCTAGATATTGACAGAATATATATTTGTATTATATTCTTTAGCTCAGAGGTAAGACAACTGCTGTGTTATTGACTCCTTAGATTTACTTTTGCATATTCTCACTATGAATATAAAATGTCCTAATTTAACAGTTATCAATACTGCAGTAGAAAAGTTGGATGATGTAATGGGGAATATTTGCTCTTACTGATAAAGGCACTATCACACAGAAGGGCAGAACAAATAAGATACATGTTTATATACTAAATCCAGAAACATACCATCGCGTCCCAAACTGTTTTAAAAACATTCTCGCAACAAAAGGGCAAAAAACATTATTTGTATTACCACTGCACTAGGAGCATTAGTATGGAGCACAATACTACATTATTCCAACAAGATGGCAGAAAGAGCAGTTCCTTTATTGCCAATGTTGCGGTTTCACATTTCTTTTTTAAAATTTCTCAAACTGGACACGACTATTAAAATCACAGCAGATTACGAAATACAATTGTATCCCAAAAACCTTTCCACCAGTCCCCAACTTTACACTGATAATTAATAGAAGCTTCCATTTTGTAACATTTTGTAAATTGCACTTGGAAGAAAGTACTGCTTGGGGAGATACTGTTTTGTTCAACAAGCGGAAGAGCTTATTTAAGTCATGAAAATAATGTGTTACCCATCTGTAGTCTCCCTTGGAGCATTTATCTGCATGCTGAAGGGGTTAATTTGTAAAGTAGATTTCCTCACATTACATAAGGGAAATTGGAGGCACAAAGAGGTTAATGCACCTACAAAAAGTCTGTAACAGAAGAGTAGAACCCAGATTTCTTGACTCCTAGTTCAATATGGCTTAAGCACAAGGCTACCACATTTTCCCCGTCCCCTACCCAAGTACATGAAATGAGGAGAAATGCTATGAAAAAAAATTACTCCCCTTTGAGAAAATTATTAGCCCATAGTTTCAACAATCTGAAGTTTCATTTTCTTAAACATGCCCATTTTACTCTGAAAAAGACTAATAAAGAAGCAAGTCTGTGGCAGAATGCATGCACTGAAATACAAACTGATGATATATTCTATGCAGAAGGCACCATCTTCTGCTTAATGGCAAGGAGGAGGTTGAATACTGACAGGCCACATGTGTGTCATCCCCCTCCTTTACATCTCTTGGAGTACAATTTGACTCTAACTACAGTCATTTTACCGCAAATAAGGAATGTGAATGAAATCAGCCCAATTTCCTGTTAATGGCACCTGCTGGTTGATAACTCTACATCCTGCTTTAGGCTTCACCTTAACTGAATTCTGCCTAACAGATACTAAAAAAAATAAAATAAAAAAAATGCAGATTTTATTTTTATTTTCCATCGTATAAAACAATGCAGTGCCTCCCACTAAATTAATGTGCATGTTGGGAATATAGAATCTTATAGAAGAAAATATTACTCACAAGAATAAAACGATAACAATGTGTCACATGCAGACGCTGAGGAATGTAAGGCTGCAAACTATGCTTTAGGATTCTGTGTGCACACTTTTATTGAAGAAGATCAGGAGTGCTTGGATGCTAGGGGTGAGAAGTGTATTTTTCCCCAAATAGTTCTGTCTCCAATTTTCTCCCTAATGAAGCCTTAACGAACTCTGATCACTGGGGAGTTCTGCCTTTCTTCCACTTGTTAAGTATTATTACCACTAATGTAAAGTGTTCCTTACTGCAAATAAAACATTTTCATCTTTTTGGGAGCACTGAAATGAGGGAAGAGGAGACTGGGTTTGTGTTCTGACTCTGCCACAGAGCCTTTTGATTGTTTCAATTCCCCACCTGCAAGACAGAGATAAATACCTCCCTTCTTTCACCCTTTGTTCTTTTTTGTTATGATACGAAGTTCTAATACAAGGTTGGCATCTACTGTGTGTCTGTACAGCACTTAGCAAGATAGGGCTGTGATGTTGGTTGGGACCTCTACTCGTTATTTTAATACAAATAATGTGAAACACTGGATTTACTTTGCCACTTGAAGCCATCATCAACATTTTGGGGGTGGGGCGACATCTCTAGGATCCTTTCATCTCCTCCTACCAATCCTCTTTGCCACCTGAGTAATAGCAGTCCTCTATCTGAAGGCTGAGCACTGGTTCTAAATCTTACCGAAATCACTAAAGAACACAAAACAATCCCTCACAGGCCCCACTGGACTTAAAATGGACATGACAAAGTAGAGGGTCTGATCTTCGATTTCTAAGACTCAATATGCTGCTACTAGCCAAGCTACCCCATTCCTATGAAAAAAACAAACTTAAATTGTTTGGTGCTATAAAATGGTTAAATTATCCATTAGCTAGAAATATTCTGGCAGCACAACAGTAGCAGACAACAGACTATGGGACTGAGTCATAAAAGCTCGATTCTATTCTCAACTATACGTTAACATGCAGGAAGAATCGTTTAGAATACATCACCTCCCCAGTGTCTACACTTTGGAGCAGGGGTGAGAAACCTTTTTTCTGTGGGTCAGTGGTCCCCAACAAAACAGTCGGGGCCACACACATGTGAGAAGCAAAAACACATATCAACTCACTGACATGGCCCCCAACTGAGAAGCAGAAACAAACAAACCAAAAAAGACACTCACCTCACTCATGTAACTGAGGGCACCAAGCTTCCTCTCACTCTCCAGCCCTCCTTGGGAAGAGTGGGGGAAGGGGGTGCGTCACAGGGCTGGATTAACTGCTGGGAGCC